TATTTAAATTATATGCATACATATTCCAAACAATGTTTGCGTAATCGCAGGATGGGTTGAATGGGAATCAAATTTGTTTCTCACCTGCCCGGTGTGTGTGACCTTCTCGACGTCGCAACGGAGCTGGAATTGCGGGCGGCGCCAGAGGCGACATCCAGTGCTGGCGCGAGCGGCCAAGCTTGGCCAAATTGTTTACCAATTGTTTGCTGGCCATTTTCTTTACCAAAGAAATTTGTTCTCCGAAATGTATTTTGACAGGAGTCACCCTGTGCCAGTCAGCTGGCTTAACAGTCCAGATGCTTCCTAACAGTGCGCTTAACAGTACCCGTAAAACTGTAAGTTAGCCAGATCGTCGGATATTTTAAAAAATATAATAACTTCCACAATAAAAAGACAATACGTTTGTATTACATATTATATATATTTTAAATACTTTCAGACTCACTTTAGAATCAACTTCTGAAACACCCTTTGTTACATTTTTCACCCAACACCCACTCATTTGATGGCGGACGCCAAATTAAAAGATTATGAATAATTCGCAGATTTTTAACTTTGCTTTTCCGTTTATTAATAAATTGAAAAATCTTAATTTCTATATTTGGCAAACTAAAAAACCATATGTAAATATATAATTTTTAGCACGAAATATCGATATATTGATATCTCGATATATTAACAAAAACCTTATTGGTCACACTTGCACGATCTCTTCTAAGATGGCGTCGTTTTCGCAAAAGTTTTGCAATTATCCTTGCCCTTAAAATGTGCAAAGAATAAAGTGTATAGAAAGGGAAACTGTGATTCAATATAAAGTGGCAGATATGAAGTTATGGTGAAATATGAAACTTTTGCAATTAGCTGCCTTGGCAGTTTCTGTGATTCAAGTGTGCAGTGCTTCGGCTCCTACGCCATATTCCATGCTTTTAACCTATTGTGGTAAGTGCCCGATGCATTAGATTACTCCTTATACTAAGTCTTATTGGTTTGCAGAAGCAGAATTAACTTTTCCGGATGATAATGCTTTGGTAGTGAAACAGTTTCACGCCGCTCGTGACGCCGCCATCGAAGGAAAAGAACAGGGAAGTACCGTTTCTTTGCATACATTGTATGTATACGCACGCTTTTGAATGTTGTGTGTTTTTGCCTCGATTATTCGCACGTTCGTCTACCAAGTGCCGTTGTTTAGAATGTCTGATGTAAACAAAGACGAAAGAAAGAGCATATTTCCTATTGGCCATGTGCCCAAAGAAAAGCCGGCCGAGTGCGCCGATCTCGTGTGCAATTCCCGAACCACACATTTTTTCTCCCATTCGAAAATGTTTCGAAAATTCCCAAAAGATCGGCACCGTGCTCCTGGCGCTTGGGGAGCCATTTCAGTAGTGTTTCGTGCTCGTCGAGTGTTGTTCTCGGTTCTTCCTCTCTACAACATCTAAAGTTCTTCATTGAAAAGTCTCTTTCCTGCCATCCACACCATCTATATCTATATATACACGCCTCTAATAATACGCGTATATAGAAATTGAATTGGAATTGTTCGCGCAAAGATTTCTGGCGTTAAAATCAAAGCAAATTCACGGTGTGTAATGGTTACAAATTAATTGGCGAGCTTGTGTGTGAAAAGCCCATTGAAAATGCTCGATAATGCCTAATTTCCAACGGGTTACATAATCGACAGTGTGAAGTGCTCTTGAAAGAAAATGTGTGTGCGTTTTCCACGTTTCCGGTGATAGAAATACAAGAAAAGAATATAGAATGTTCTCCAAAATAATGCTGAACTACAATCGAATAGAATGGATATCAAAGAGCGAAGGATAGCAATTAAAAGTGATCCCAGAATAAAGTGAAGCATGCGAGGAGGAGGCTGCACTCGGAACGGTGCTGCTCTCGGCATGGTTCTTCCGTCCGAAAGTTTAACGAACTGAGTTCATTTCTATTTTTGAATAATTCGAGAAAGCAACCAACAACCGACCGACCGACCGCCGCCGTCGCCGCAAAGTGAAAAGTCTGCATGAGTTTCTTTCCCATCGTCGTCGTCGCGGTGGTGCGTTGCGGGACGTGTGCTTTTTTAAGTGGTGCCCGATGGTAGACCGACTGATCCACACACACACACACAGGCCGCGTTGCCTGCCGCCTACACTGTGCAATTTTGGAATATCCATAAAGGAATTGAAATATTGAAAGCAGATGACGAATATACAATTTCTTGGCTGCAAACTGTGCAAAATTTTTGGAAAATTACGAAAATAAATGATGACAGTGTTGGCAGGATATGAGCAATATATTTGGGGAATAAATACCAAATCATGGACGAAATATTTCCCAATTTCAAATACGATTGTACGCTTTTATGGATTCACTTGAAGGCAATAACTCTAGTTTTTAATTGCAAAGAAAAGATATTTGCTTATTTATAAACTTTCCATCAAGTCTATGGCTTGTTTTCCTTTCTTCCAGCTCTGTTTATTTTGTCTATTTGAATTGAAATGAACAATTCACTTGAAAACAATTTGAATTTTCCCCTGCTGAAATTTAGCTAATTTCACTTTCTCGCCTCATCCAACATTATCAATGATTTGAGCTGTGAGTGCTCTCAAGGTCTATTTTCTCTACACTCTGCCAAGAATATATCATCCACTTTTTTGGAGGCCTTCAAACAATTTTGACAGCAGCTAATCCAAGAGCTGCTCACTCGAGTTTTCCTTTCAATCTTTGGCATAATGTTAATATTCAAGAATTGTAAATTATCTGGCGCATATATATATTTTCACTAATATATGTGACAACTAACTGAAATAAACGTTTGGCGCGGAAAATACTCTTCTGGAAACTAAGAAAAACCGCTCGGCCAACGTCAGCGCCATTTTTAAAGATTGTATAAATGTTTATATCACTTCCGTTAGGGATCTATATCTCTGCTATATGCAGGCCCCAGATATGTACATTTGTGCGTAGTCTTTGGTGAAATTAGTGAGCTAACCATTTTCGAGAATAGGTCATGATTTATTTGTGTTTCTCTTTGCCTATTTCTCAGACTATTTTGTCCACTTGACATAATTGGGTTGGACGGGTTCTGTTCGTTCAGGTGATGGTATTTGGCTAATGAACAAATTATGATTTATGGTTTTTGCACAGTTTTGATGCCGTGTCATTTGTGAGAATATGTTTACATAAATGTAGTTAGAATATCAAAAACCTCGTCATGACTTTAACTTACACAATGAATTATAATCTGACTCTTATCTTATGACCAAAATAGAGTGTTAATTTCATTTTCTATATTTTTTCTCGCCAGTGTAATATGTTAAATTAAAAACCCATAGCCCCGTCCAAAAGTCTTTGTGAATCCAATATAAATTCGAAATAGAACCCAACAAGAACCAGCTAAAATTTCGAACGTCTGATCTCCGTTTGCCGTTAAGATGTCCGGGCAGCAACCGCCGCCGTATGGAAATGGGCCGCGTGGTTGGAATCCACGTGCTCAGAATCCCGCCTCTCCGTCGCCGTCTACCTTCCTCTACCGTCCACCATCGCCCTGGACGACGGCACCGAGTCCGCCGCCGATTATCTCAGGACCTCGGCCCTTTGGGCATGCAATGTCACCGGCTCCCCTCAACCAGGTGAGGGGCCAACGTGGCAGCACCAATATACCCCATCCACGACCTCAGTGGCCGGGTGGCAACCAATCGCCGGCTCCCTACCAGCAGCAGCAACAACAGCAGCCACCTCCAAGTGGTTACTACGGAGCTGGGGCATCGCCGGCACCGCGTCCCTACCGTCCGGCGCCTCTGCAGCACCAGAACTCGTATGGAGCTCAGCCGACAAGCTCGTTTCAGCTGTCGCCAACACCATCGCCCATTGTGTGCCAGACACCCAATTCGGACTTTAACTACAGCAATCGACAGACACCCCTATACCATCCACAACAGGCACCGCCGCCACAATATTATCAGCAGCAGGGAGCGCCGGTGATTCCACCGCAACCGAGACAACACGGAGGACACGGACTGGCCCAGGATCAGATCGATTTCGTGGGCGTACCGCTGGAGCCTCCGCAACCTAAATCATATGTGATTTACGATGATGAAGAGGAGTTTGGTCCGTCTACAGCTGAAATTATAGCGAATCAATCGCAGGACTATATCGACGAGAAGCTTGCCGAATATCAGATGACGATATTGCAGTTGCAAGGTGAGTTTGTAACAGATTTATATCATTTTTTATTCGTAGATAATTAATGGAGAACCTTAAGATAAATTCCAAAATAAAAATACAAAATATTCTGCAACGAGAAAGGAAGCTATATTCGGCACGCCGAAGGTTATATACCCTTGCAGATTGAAATTTGATCACTATTAATTAATGCAATATGAATTATTTATATTTATGTTTAAAAAACAATGAAGGTAATGCCTGCTTTCATTTTATTCACCGTTTTGCATTTCCATTATTTTTAACGATTGCTTGTGTGGCAGCTATATGATATAGTAATCCGATATTCTGAAAATTGTACACAAGATTCTTGATATAATGGGTATATGTATATCAAATTTAATGAATATCTGTTGAAAACTGGAAAAGTTCTAATTTTTTTTATTAAAATTATCCGATCGTTCCAATATATAGCTATATGAATATGTATATATATAGTCCACCGATTTTCCATGCTCCGACTTATATACTAGTAAAATTATATAGAAGAATAACTCCATAGTTGATTTGATTAAATTTGTTCCAAAACAAATTTCGCACATATGTGCATATGATTCCCAACTCGTTCTAACATCCCCGGAACGAAGTGACTTCTGCCGGCCAAGTTTCAGAAATGTGGTGTGTTACAAAAGTTACAAGTCATTGTTTATTAGTGTTCAAAGTTAGTAACTCATCATACATACTTACTGGTCATAGATTAGTGATCATAGATACTTACTGTTAAGAGTTACTTACTGATCATTGTTATTTACTGGTCATAGATACTTACTGATCAGATTTACTTAATTTTCATTGATACTTACTAATCATGGTCATGGTCATAGATACTTACTGTTCAGAGTTACTTACTGGTCATAGATACTTACCGTTCATAGTTAATCTTCATATCATATGATTCCCAACTTGTTCTAACATCCCCGGAACGAAGTGACTTCTGCCGGCCAAGTCTCAGAAATGTGTTGTGTTACAAAAGTTGCAAGTAATTTTTTATAAGTGTTTAAAGTTAGTAACTGATCATAGATACTTACTGATTATAGTTACATCCTGGTCATAGATACTTACAGATCATCATTTATTACCGATTATATTTATTAAACTTACTGTTATAATAATTCTATAATGAAGAAACTTAAAAGCTAATTTTACATATAATTTTGTAATATACATATTGATTTCGCAATCTAAGGGATAACCCCCTTTAAGTTCGATTTCTTTAATTTTCTTCACGTTTTTCTCTGTGGCCTAACTTTTTCCGAGTGCATCTGAGTCATCTTGAATTGTTTTTAAGTTGACAGCCATCAGTTGTGGTTGGTTCCCCTCTCATTCAGCACACAAATAACATGTAGAATATTTGATTTTCTCTTGGCAAAGCATTGAACTTTGTTGAATCAGAGCAGAGTATAGCGGGCGAAAGCGAATGTAAATGTCAACCGAACTTGACCCAGACAGCCCACGTTCCCCCATGTCCCACCTCGCATCCGCCATCCGCCATTCGGCAACTTTTTCATCAGTGCCGGCCATCATCCCATCCTGCTGACATCATCGCTCGAAAGTAGACTATGGCCCAGATTCTTGGCTCTATTTCACCTTTCCGTTGGCTTTAAGTGCCTTTTGGTTCGAACATTATTATTATTTTGGCTATTTTGTGGACATCACCTCAAGGTAATGACATAATGTGTTGTCGCCGAAATGGAAGTAGAATATAAATTTTTTGGCAATCGTGCAAATTGCAATCGCCAATACACATCGAATGCCAAATGAATCGATGAATTGTTATGCTCACATATATATATTTCTTGTACTTTTAAACAATTTGCACGCGCTGGGAATGAGATAATCGGTTATTTAATATCTGGCACCTACGTTGGCAAACATATTTGCTATTTTATTTATTTAAATTATTTGGTGTCAATAATATACTTAGTTTTGTATATCTTATATCTTATATTTAATATACAAATAAGCTCTTTCGGGCCTTTCCCTAGCTTTAATAATTTGTATCCTATACCATAGAATAGAATTTCCAATCACTAAAACTATTTCGAATTTTCTGCTTTATCGCTTCCTAATTGCTTGGGATAATAGATAATTCGAATTTCCTTTTTAGCAACAAACAAATTACCGGCACAAGTCGAATGTAATTAATTGTAAAGCGTGTGATCTCACTTTTGTGTGAGTCTGATTGATAGACAAGGTTCCTGAGGCTTTGTCTATTGCTCGTTGAGCAGTGAGATCATTTTTTTGAATGATTGAAACGCAACGAGATATGTGAATGCGTTTCGAATAGTTCCAATAGGCAGGTGATGATGCCAGGTCCGGTCAGGTGCTGATGTCACTGTGGAAATGGCTTTATTGTGTTCTTTATATATATTGCATTTTCCTCGATCTGATTTTATTTCCATTGTCTCACAGTTTCCGCCGATCCAACTGGGCCTGCATTTAGCTTGCTTTGCTCCTTGAATCACTTTTGGGCCATCTTATTTTAGACGCTTGTTTGGTATGAAATATATATGTACATTTATCTCAAGGGACGACGGGAGACTGGGCTTGGCTGTTGTGCTATTTTTGTATAATTTTCTCGCCCTGCTTTCTAGTTTATTTTCAAATTTAGCAGCGTTTTTCTCTTAAGCTATTTTGTCTTATTTTTATTTATTTACTTTTTTTTTGGCTTGCTTTATTCGAACTTGTCTTGTCACGGGAAGAAATGCGATTAAAAATAGAGTTCTCTTTAGAGTTTTCTGGGTTTTTCTACTTGTCCCGCTTGGCATGTTTGCTTTGGGATTTAAATGTACAACACATGGATTCGTTTTGTGTGTTTTTTGTAATGTAAGAAGAATGTACAGGGAAAGAAATGACTTTTGGGGGATTTAGTTAAAAAATATTTCATTTATTTATTATGTATTAATAATAATAATAGAACTTTGCCAAGTTTATATTTGATTTATTTAATATATCTTTGTAATCTCATGTCATGTTTTAACAACAATTTGACAGCTTTATTAAAATGTTACCAACAAATCTCTGGCCAATAAAATGTGAGGGAAAAGAATCTTGTTGGAATTTCACATTTTTAAATCAAAACGTTTCCTAATTTATACGTTTTCGTTGCAAATATATTTTACAATAAACGTTTTGCCCAACACCTACGCGTTCCTATATCAAATGGGAAACATTCGATGTGTTTCAGCTATATATATTTGAATGTGGAATCGTTATAAATAGGTAATTCTATAAACTAATTTTGTCATTTTTCGCACGTAGAATGGTGGCTTCGGATGATGACATCTAGACATATGCAAATGCCACAATTCAAACAAATCAAATTTGTTGACAGCTGTTCAGTTATCTCATTTAATTTCAAAATTCACTCTCGGCCGGTTCACTAAGTCTATAGAAACTTTTAAGAATTGATCGGTTAGATTCAAAAATCCCTTAGATTATGCATACTTAAAATTAGTGATAGTGAAACTGATCATGAACAGATAGATACATTTGAATTTGTTAAATAGAACTTATCAAGTGTAAATTTTGTAGACAAAATGCAAATAAATCCAAATTGTTGACGGCCAGTTTTCTTATATTTTTAATTGCTTTTCAACCTTGGGGCTTTGGACTTTAGGAGTGAATATTTATTAATGGCTAATAGTTTATATCATTTACTCAGCTTAATTTTGAGCAAACAATTTTTTTTTGGCTCATCTTAAAGGGAATTCATATCTCTTTAATGGTCATTTGAACTAATGTATGGCCTCAAGCTGCAATATATATATATAGTACATATATCTATATGTATATATATTTTTGGCTAGATGAATTTCTGTTTAGAGAAGCGTTTTGTGATGCCTTGAAGTCAATATTTGAAGATCAAGAAGCGTTTGCCTTTCCATTAAACTGGGCAACTTTATGGCTAGGTGTGAAATAAATGGAAGACAACGAACATCTAAGATATGTATGTACATATATTTTGAGCAAAAGGAAATAGCATTCTGGTGAAATGTGAATGTTTTTTTTTTTTTTTTCAAGAACGGAAATAATTGTTTATGCAAAAAATAAAAGTGTTTGTTCGAATTGAGTGCTGGGTATTCATATACATTGATTTGGAGAGTCTATAATTAGGGAGGATACATACATATGTATGTCTAAATAAAAGAAATGCATAGATTGTTACGAACTTTTTGTATAATCTTAATTCTTTTCTTTCCTCTACTTATTTATTAATTAACTAAAACCCCAAAATGATTCAGAATTGCTTCCGGAATACTCTTTATCAAAATGAGAATTAATAGTTTTTGTAACAACGAATTACTAATTACCCTACAAGTGGCTTCTTCCATTTTATGATTTTACAGCCTGCACAGTGGCTCACACTCCACCAAAGTGGCTCGTAAACAAAATGATGCTATAAAATCGAAACAAAACATGTGAATTTTCTCAAGAAGATGCCACTTTGTGGTGATGTTGTTGTTGCCTCTATTTTTTTTGAGGGGCAGCCGTGGTTTACTTTCGGATTATGAATGTCCCTTCAAGTGTTAAATATTCTCAAGTTTCAGTCATTAAGAATAGCAAATTGATAACCTTATAGTTTTTTTTTTTTTGGTAACTCAACCTTTACGGACACTGCTCGTGAAATGAAACGCATTTACGGCGATCCATCTGTCAGTAAAGTCACCAGGCAAGAGAATTTGCCACACCTAGCTGAATAGGCCGATAATATACTGTCGACTTATAAGAGAAACTTGGTGGAAGGGGTACTGCCTCAAGGAGGCAATGTAAAAAATGAGCTTGAATCACAAGTTGCCAACATAACTGTGATAATAATACAGGCAGCCAACAGCACTAATCAACAGCCAACCCTAGTCATTAACAATAAAAATTCAGCAGCCGGCATTAATATAAATTCTGCCTTCGCACTCTTCGGGCTGGCTTTCATTATCATCTTCAATGTATTTAAGTCAATGTAGTTATATATTAGCAAGGACATTGTCCAGATCAATATTAAATCTTGATGCATAATTGCAACAAGTCTGGTAATTGTAAATGATTTATAAAACAATATACAGCAAAATCAATGTTCTGTTTCAAGGTTTAAAGGATCTAAAACTATAAACTAGAAATGGGTTGAATCTTATGTTTGCTTCTTAGAGAGGTTTTTCCTGGTTTTTAAAGCGCAGTGAAAATATGAAACACTTTTAGTTTTTTAATGGAATTTCATCCAATGTATTTATGAGAAATTAGTCATCAAAACATAACAATTAAGAAGAGGAAAAACCATGTATTTAGTTTTGCTTTTGTGTTTTAGGAACTTGATGAAATACATACATACATATGTACATAAGTCTATAGGGTCAGAGAGTTCGTCTTTCTTGATAGACAATTTCCTGAAAAATAATGTTTCTTGGCAAATTGTTTCTCTGATCTTTTATAACTTCTAGACTTTTTGGAAAAAAAATATATATTAAAATATTTGATGAAATAAATTCTGCTCAATCTTTCATTTGTTGTTATAGTTTCTAGGCTGCTCGTTTTTTAAAGCAACGCTTTATATTTTATGTTTTAGAAGTTAGTCAAAAGTAAAAGAAATTAATTAATATCAGAAAATAGCTGTTAGTATCTTACACATAAAATAAAGAAAATCAAAAATATATAAATATAAATCAAAGATACATTTTAAGAAGCATTCTTAAGAGCCAATTCCACGAAACGTACTTATTTCAGTATTCCATTAACAATTAAAATTAATTCTAGGAAATATTGTCATAATGGTTTCATATTTCATATATATTTGTTTTAATAAACACAACTAGTTACAATTATACGACGTTGAAGTACCTCGCAATGCAAAATCTCAATGCATTCTCTATTATATGCACAATCTTAAATATGAATTTCCTACATATTTGAAAAGACCGAGCATACCTTCTTACGTACCAAGTGAAATTATATACATATTGTACTATATAAACGCGTCTTTAATTGGCCGTTCTTCTGATAAGAACTGAATTGGAAGAGGGTATAAATTCTGAATCCTCTTGGTGGATTGAAATTAAAATACTTTTATATTCCCGTGTGACAAGTCAGTTCAGCTATGAGTCGTTCAATTATATTGTGGTAATTATGAAATTCAATGAAAGCATCCTGGCAAACCCATTAACCATTTCGAGATTTCAGCTTCTTTGCTGTCGTTGTGACAGCATTGGTGATATGTGTGGGCAGCACTCAAGGGGAGGATCAGTTCACGGCGACAGCTAGAGAAATGATGCGTATTTACGGTGGCCACTCCGTCAGTAAAGCAACCAAGCAGCAGTATCTGAATCGCCTGGCTAACTTTTACCAGCACAATCGTCAGCGTATTCAATTCACTGCCCAGGAAAGACGTCAAGCCGACGAGCTGCTGGCGAGGTACCAACGGGCGAAGGCCTCTACTGTCCTTGTGGATGGAGTGCCAGCCCAAGGAGGAGCTGCTGTGGCACTTCTTCTTCCGCTGGCTGTTGAAGGAGCCACCCAACTAGTCAAGTTAGGAATTAATCATTTCACATCATCCGCCGGCGGAGTTGAGATAAATCGTGGTGTTGCCATTTTCGGGTTGGCTTTTATTATGATGTGCTATTTCTTCAGATCTAAGTCGTTGTAGGACAATGCCTGCTAAAATACCGACCTTGGTCCCTGTATTGAACTCTGTCTTGATGAATACTAAAGCAAATCATTGAATCTGAACATTTGTAGTAGTTATGATCTACATAAGAAGTTATTTTGTTTATGGAATATTTTACCATGTTTTGTTTGTTATTTAAACGATTTCTTGTCTGCTAAATATCAAATGAAACAATGAATATATAGGATATTATCCATATCATTACCATAACCATAGTTAAATATATTGTTTATTGTTACCTTAACAGAAAATGAAACTTAATTCGGAAATTTTTGTATATCCTTGACGTTTGTAATTGAATTAACGAATCGATTCGGAGCAAATCTAAATTTAAAATATTAAAAAACTTATGAGCAGCCCAAAAAAAATTAATTTTAATTCGGAAAGCTGTCCCATGTTAGTTTTTACTAGGTTTATAAATCTGCATACTCAATTTGAAATTTAAAAAACGTAAATTTTTGACTATTTTTGTAAATATTAATTATAAAATTTTAAACCTTAAAATTTTTTTTTAAATTTGTACAAAAAATTTTCTTTGGGAGATGCCTAGATTGATTCGCCTGTTGATGATCAAGAATGTATATGATTTATAGGGTCGGAAATGACTCAATCCAACGTTACAAGCTTTTGACTAAAATAATAATAGCATTCTTTGGGTCAATATTCATCTATATTTTTATATGACAATTTTAAATTTAACAAGAAAGAAAGCTAACTTCGGCACGCCGAAGTTTATATACCCTTGCAGATAGAACTTCTATGAATAAAAAACCATACAATATAAATGATATATATTTGTGTTAAAAAACAATGAAGTAATAGCTGCTTTCATTTCATTCACCTATACATATTATATTTGCAGTTTAACATACACAGATTTGCATTTTTCCTCTACATCAAACGATCGTTTGTATGACACCTATACGATATAGTCGTCCGATTTTCATAAAATTTGACACAAAATTTAAGACTCATATAAAATAGCTATACCTTAAATTTGATGAAAATCAGTTGAAAACTGAAAAAGTTATAAATTTAATTGTATTAATTTCTCGATCGTTCCTATGGGAGCTATATGATATATTAGTCCGATTTTCATAAAATTTTACACAAAATTGTAGAGTATAGTAAAATGGCTATATCTTAAATTTGATCCAATTCTATTGAAAACTGAAAAAGTTAAAAATTTTGTTGTAAAAATTGTACGATCATTCCTATGGCAGCTATATGATATAGTCGTCCGATCCGGCCCGTTCCGACGTATATACGAGTGAGAGTATATAGAAGGCTAACTACAAAGTTTCATTCAGATAGCTTCAAAACTGAGAGACTAGTTTGCGTAGAAACGGACAGACGGACAGAAGGACAGACGGACATGGCTAGATCGACTCGGCTGTTGATCCTGATCAAGAATATATATACTTTATATAGTCGGAGGTGCCTCCTTCACTGCGTTGCAAACTTCTGACTGAAATTATAATACCCTGCAAGGGTATAAAAATCGCACAACTCAGCCAAAAATGCATTTATTTTAATTCGGGAAGCTGTCCTATGTTAATTTTTGTTAGGTTTATAAATCTAAAATAAATCTATAAAATTTAAAATAATTATAAATTTTGCAATATTTTAAAAATTTAAAATGTTAATTGTAACCCTAAAAAATTTGAAATTTGGAGGTGCCTAGATCGATTCGCCTGTTCATGCTGATCAAGAATATATATGGTTTATAGGGCCGGAAATGATTCCTTCACTACTTTGTAAGCTTCTGACTAAAATTATAATACCATTCTTTGGGTCAATATTTATCTATATTTTTATATGACAATTTTGTTTGACAAGTCAAATTTTAAAATCTTATAACTCAGCCAAAAAAGCATTAATTTCTATTCGGAAAGCTGTTCCATGTTAGTTTTTGTTTGGTTAATAAACCTGCATACTCAATTTGATATTAAAAAAAAATAATTTTTTGCCTATTTTTGAACTTTAAAATTTTGAAATTTTAAATATAAAATGTCATATTCTATGGTGACAAATCTCAAAAGGGTTTTAAATAGCTTGGCTTCATTTTAAACTTCTAACTGGGCTTCCAAAACGGACTCTTGATTACTTTCAAATCAATTAATTAATAATTCAATTAATATTTAGTCGTCGACCTCTGTCAGGCTTAGAATTTAGAATATGCATTGCAAATTAAATTGCGTTGCAAGCAAAAAAAAGTGCTTTAGGCCATTTGAAGTGCAACTCTAATATATTTCAGGGCCAGCCTCGCAACTCAACAACAACAGAAAATACATTCAGAAATATCAAATGCAATGCAATCACCAAACCGTGACGTCATTTGTCTGGTTTGGTTTATAAATACGCGACAAACTCGTTTTTTTTTCATTTATTTACTCTTTTCGTGATTATGTAAACTTCAAACGCAAAAGAAGAAAAACAAGCATTTTGTTTTGGTTTTTCCTCTCCGCCTTTGCATTCATGAATGACTTTCATTAATTGCTGTGCCAAGTTGAGCTTTGCCATGCGCTGACCCATATTTTCAATGTGTCTCGCTCTCAATTTACATTTTCAGTGCCTCTCAATTGGTAACTGATCCATCAGGGTTGCAGCTTATAATAATAAATAATCCATAAAGGGCATAAACAACCACCGACCAAGGGTGATGCTTTCTCACGCTTCATGATGTCACACCGTACAAAAGGTGTAAGAGAATTCCAATTATCGCAGACCCAGGGGCGGCGTTTAAGAACTTTCCGAGCATTTCCAAAAGCCACCCATTCATGGGGAAGGCCAGAGAGCATTGTGTGTGTGTGTTTGGAAAAGCTATCGCTCGCTCTCTGGGTGACCAGAGAGTAAACCGATTAAACTACGTCGTGTTATCTTTCAACATTTTACCACCCTTTAACCTTAAGGTTTTCTTTTTTACGTTACTGAATCAAAATACCTAAAGTTAATGACAATTTAAAATTGTCTTATTAATTGGGGGAACGATGATTATATACATAGGTGTCTTAGTATATTTTGCAAAGCTACGACATTGTAAAATATTATTTGTTGTATAACATATGAATGGGTGACTGACATTTTATTTTCATAGTCTTTAAATTTGACTTTCTCATAAATAGTATGGTATAAGTTAATTAAGATATATTTCATTTCAAAGAATAACTTTAACTTGACATGTTACTATTGAATTTATTCAAGTAAAAAATATAACAAAATGGGAAGATATATAAAATCATTTTTGATAATATTGGTTTCAATAAAAAGGGATTTCTTTCGGGTGTATAATATAAAAAAGATATAATGGAAAGATATGTAAGCGAAGTTATTATTAATAATAATGCTTCAATAAAAATTGTAAATTTTGTTTATAAAATTATAGTGTAGACGCATTTAAGTTAAGGTTTTTTTTTTTCATTTCATTTTTGATTTCTCCAATAACCTGATTTACAGTCTTCATTATATTATTACCTTGTTATACTTATTACATTCTGTGCATACTTTGAGTGTGCTCTGATAAGGTCAAGCAGAGAAATTTTTATTAGATTAATATATTATATATTTATATTATATATATAACATAATAATATAATAATATAATAATATAATAATATAATAATATAATAATATAATAATATAATAATATAATAATATAATAATATAATAATATAATAATATAATAATATAATAATATAAAAATATAATAATATTTTTTTTTTTTTTTTTTTTTTTGGGTTGAGGAATAATATAATAATATAATAATATAATAATATAATAATATAATAATATAATAATATAATAATATAATAATATAATAATATAATAATATAATAATATAATAATATAATATATAATAATAATATTATTATTAATTATTATTATTATTATTATATAATATATATTATTTTATATTATAGTATTAAAGAAATATTTCTTACAACATCTCTCTTGTAACCCCATCTCAAAAGCCGGCTACTGCGCCACTGACTCCAAACAATAACAAAACAGTCAGCGGTGGAGGTGTCTCGGCTCAAGCTCCATGAGAGTGTGCTGGAGCAGTAAACACAAACACAACGCATCCATCAAAATGCGTAAATAATACTCTCTCTCTTTCTCCCTCTCTGCTTATTAAGCTCTCCTTGGCTTTTTTTTTGGCACTCTGCTCTCGGGGTCGCTCTTCCTCTCTGGGTGTGTGTGAGTTAAATACCCATACAGAGAGCGGCCACAGACTCTGGGAAACATGAGCTTTACTACGATTACTATATGAGAACGGCTTCTCTCACAGTTTTTGTTGTTTTTTTTGGACTGGACAAGGCGTAGCATATTGAACGTAGTCACCGCTGGGTTTCATTATCGAACCGGCTTTCTGCGACAGCGGATGGAAAACGCGGAGCGACAAAGTCGTCGCTGGGTTATAATGTGATAAAGTCCGCCTGCCCCACAAGCAAATAATACAAGCAACCAAAACCCAATTTGAATGTGTTTTTTTTCGGGGGCAGTGAGAACTGCGAGCGAAATACGTGAAAAATTTCTTACCTAACCGCGTGAGATAATCTCGCATTGTCTCCTAATAAAACCCCAAAGCGACCCCCGAAAGCTCCAAGTGTTAAACATAACATAAAGAAGAAAAAAAAAAACAGGAGAAGCGTGTGTTTGTGATTTGCTTTTAAGCAAATTAAAGTTGGAATTACGTGTGTTCCGAAAAAAAATCAGAAACTGAAGGCCATTCAAGGGTTGTTTAAAGGAAAATTTTGTCTGGCAAAGGAAAAGTCACGAAAAGTCCGAGTGTGTGTGTTTTTTGTGTGTGCGTTGCGTGAGAAAAATCAATTCTGCATTTTGGTGGAAATTCGGAGGAGAGAGACACCGAGAGAGAGAGATTAGTGAAAACAGGACACAGGAACCTCAAGGAAAACCCAGTAACCGATGACAATTTGGCTTGACAAGAGGCAATTAGCGAAACCAATGCCATTATGGCTGATAGCGGAGATCCAGGATCCAAGCACAAGGATCCATCAGCAATTGTAGATGCCGGCGGAGGAGGCCAGGCAGCAGGCGGAGGTGATGACGTGCCTCCTCCGATACCAGCTGTTCGCCGGCGTCGTGCGCATGAGCACAAGCAATCCTCGAGAGAACAACTGGACGAGGAGGAGAAGATGCAGAGTGAGGAGAGTCAACAGCTGGAGACATCGACGGTGACGCGTACCTATATGAAAACCATCACCACCTCCCTGACCACATCGAGCAGTTCCAACCGCGAGGAGTA